TAGTTTTAGGGCCAGAGTGTGTTTCTTTCACTGACTCTGGTTTCAGGGCCAGGGTAGGTTTCTTTCACTAGCTCTGGTTTCAGGGCCAGGGTGGGTTTCTTTTGCCGGCCCTTTTCCCCTACACCCTTTCTTCCCCTAAATCACTTCAAGTCAGAATGTTTTATCACTACAACAGAAAGGAGACTAGAACAATGGATTTTCTTGCCAATTAGACCGAGAATCATTTAAGAAGACATTTTATTATAGATAGTATTGTTATTTCTGTTATAAAACTCTTAAATTTGTGATGAAAATTATATAATGCTGAATCTTAGAAATGAAGTTATTCGCCGGGTGGCAGTGGCACACACCTTTAATCCCAGCACTCCGGAGGCAGAGCTAGGCGGATCTCTGTGAGTTCAAGGCCAGCCTGGGCTACAGAGTGAAATCCAGGACAGACACCAAAACTACACAGAGAAACCCTATCTCAAAAAAAGAAAGAAAGAAAGAAAGAAAGAAAGAAAGAAAGAAAGAAAGAAAGAAAGAAAAGAAGGAAGGAAGGAAGAAGAAAGAAAGAAAGAAAGAAAGAAAGAAAGAAAGAAAGAAAGAAAGAAAGAAAGAAAGAAAGAAAGAAATTATTCTTAAGTTGTGGCTGTCATTCCAACATTCCAAAGTCATATGGTAGAGCAGATATTTTTCTTTTTGGTTTTTTGAGACAAGGTTTCTCTGTGTAGCCCTGGCTGGCCTAGAACTCATTCTGTAGCCCAGGCTGGCCTTGAGCTCACAGAGATCCACCTGCCTCTGCCTCCTGAGTGCTGGCACTAAAGGCGTTTGACACCACTTAGGGTTTAGCAGGTATTTCTTAGTAGTTTAACAGGAGTTGTCATCATTATCTCTCAGGTGTAAATAAGCAAGCTTGGCATGGTGGTACACACCTTTAATCCCAGAACTTTGGAGGCAGAGGCCGTGGATCTCTGTGAGCTCAAGGCCAGCCTGGTCTACAGAGCTAGTTTCAGGACAGCCAGGGCTACACAGAGAAACACTGTCCTGACATGACCCCCAAGACAATAATAATAAAATAAACAACCTTTATCCTATAAACAACATCTTTATTAATACAGCTCAGGAATTACTGCGTACAGTACTGACAGTATCATGTAGCTTTTAATAACTGATCATATGATTGTTAAAAAGATGACTTGGGGGATAGAGGAATGAATGGCTCAGTAGTTGAAAGCATGTACTGCTCTTCCAGATCTGGTTCAGATCCCAGCACCTTTATCAGGAGGTTCACAAACACTTGGAACTCCAGCTCTATGGTATCTGATCCCTTCTTCTGGCCTCTGCAGGCACCTGCATTCATGTGCATGTATCCACACAGAGGTACATACACATAAATAAAAATGAAATAAATTTTTTTAAAATGATGACTTAAATGACATTATAAAACTATTTGATAAGTAAAATGGCTTACCTGACAATCTTTAAATAATCTTGCAACAACAAAATATCCCTTGAAAATTAGCTTTTGTATTTTGTAGATAATAAAGCAAGTTCAACCAGCTGTGGTAGTATATGCCTATAATCCCAGGACTTGGGAACTTGGGAAGTGCATCAAGAGTTATCCTCGCCGGGTGGTGGTGGTGCACGCCTTTAATCCCAGCACTTGGGAGGCAGAGCCAGGCGGATCTCTGTGAGTTCAAGGCCAGCCTGGGCTACCAAGTGAGTTCCAGGACAGGCTCCAAAGCTACACAGAGAACCCTGTCTCGAAAAAACAAAACAAAACAAAACAAAACAAAACAAAAAAAAGAGTTATCCTCAGCTACACAGAGTTCCAAGCCAGCCTAGACTGCATGAAACCTTGTTTTGTTTTGTTTTTTAAATTATGAGTATAGTGGCACAAACCTTTAATCCCAGCACTCAGGAGGCAGAAACAGGCAGATATCTCTGTGAGTCTGAGGCCACCATCATCTTCATAAAGAGTTCTAGGACAGCCAGAGCTACATAGTGAGACCCTGTCTTGAAGTAAACAAGCAAACAAAAAAGCACCCCCCTGCCGGGCGGTGGTGGCGCACGCCTTTAATCCCAGCACTCGGGAGGCAGAGGCAGGCGGATCTCTGTGAGTTCGAGGCCAGCCTGGTCTACAAAATGAGTTCCAGGAAAGGCGCAAAACTACAGAGAAACCCTGTCTCAAAAAACCAAAAAAAGGCCGGGCGGTGGTGGCGCACGCCTTTAATCCCAGCACTCGGGAGGCAGAGCCAGGCGGATCTCTGTGAGTTCAAGGCCAGCCTGGACTACGAAGTGAGTTCCAGGAAAGGCGCAAAGCTACACAGAGAAACCCTGTCTCGAAAAACCAAAAAAAAAAAAAAAAGCACCCCCCAAAAGGCATTTTTAATATTGAGAGATACAAATGGTATATGCAGTACAACATAATGCTTTGATATATGCTTACAATATGGAATGATTAAGAAAGCAAATCTATGCTTACATACTATTTTGTGTGGCGAAAACACCTAAAATCTATTCTTTTGCTGGGTGTGATGGCTCATACCTGTAATCCTAGCGTTGAGAGGCTAAGGCAGGTGGGTTGCTTAAAGTGTGAGGCTAGTCTGGCCTACAGAGTAAGATCCAATCCAGGCTGGGATACTGCGTGAGACCCTGAACAACAACAGCAAAAAAGCCAGGTGGTGGTGGTGGTGGTGGTGGTGGTGGTGCATACCTTTGATCCCAGCACTCACGAGGCAGAGGCTGGTGGATCTCTTTGAGTCCAGCCTGGTCTACAGAGCAAGTTCCAGGACAGCCAGGGCTACACAGAGAAAACCTGTCTTGAAAAACAAAAACAAAAAAACCAAAAAGTTGAGCCTAGTAGTCCATAGCCATAGCGCAAATGTTTTGGGGGAGGGTTGATGGCACTGCCTCAGTTTTGATGTCGGTCGGGTCTACACAGTGAGTGCCAGTCCGTCCATCAGCACAAGGCAAGGCTGTATCTCCAAAACAAACACAACTATTCCTTGAGCAGTTCAGGAGCACATGGTGCACTATTATTACCAAAATTGTTCTGTGCAGTAGAGTTCTTATTTCCTCCTGCCTAGTAGGAGAGGCTTTGTACACTTGGATCAGCATCTGTCCTCTCCTCAGCCACCCCCTCATTTAGCCTCTCAGAATCATCTATTTTCTACTCCCATGGGTTTGACATTTTTAGATTCCATATGTAAGTGTAATGATGTACTTTCTGTCCTTTTTTGGGGAGGAGGCTGGCTTATTTCACTTAGCATAATGTACTCCAGGTTCATGCACATTGTTACAAATGACTGGATTTAGGATTAAAGCTATGATAGATTAATGAATTATTAGCGTATAAATAATGAATTTCCAGTGATGGAAAACTATGTGTATGTTAAATGAAGAAAGGCTGTAGTAGGGATTGAGAATACCGACACTTGTTGTTTGGTACGAGTAAGAAGAGAATGGAGGGGTTTAGGAAGTAATGGGCACGAGGAATGATGCAACAAACAGGAAAAGACATCTAAAGGAGTGGCTAATCCCAAGAAGTCCAAAAAAGAACTGTTCTCCATCCTTAGCAACCAGAAGGTCATTAATTTAGACAAAGTTCCTGGGACTTGGGAAAAGCTGAAGCTAAGCTGGAGTTGGTTTAGGAATGAGTGGAAAATTCGGAAACATTTGCAGCAGATGTTTGAGTACAGAATGCCACACAAAAAGTCAGTTCTTGGGGACACCAGCTCTGGGTGCCCCCAATCTGGGGAGCCTGTCTCTTTGCTGCTTTGCTGTGTGTGTGTATGCTTTGCTTTCAGTAAAAATCTTGCTGAGAGCTGGGTGGTGGTGGAGCACACCTTTAGTGCCAGCACTCAGGAGGCAGAGGCAGGTGGATCTCTGTGAGTTCAAGGCCAGCCTGGTCTACAGAATGAGTTCCAGAATGGTCAGGGCTGTTACCTGACTGAGAAACCCTGTCTCAAAATAACAAAAACCACCACCAACAACAAACCAAAAATCAGACTGAGTATTGAGAAAGAAAAAAAACATCAGTTATAGTACAATAGAGATGTGAGCATGATGAAGCAGGAAAATAGAGGAAGGAGCTAAAGATTCGGGAGAAAAATTGTTTTTAGAAATATTTTTACATTTTTAATAATGTGTATGATAGCTGGGTGTTAATCCCAGCACTAGAGAGGCAGTGGCAGGAGGATCTCTGTGAGTTCAAGTCCAGCCTGGTCTATACAGTGAGTTCCAGGACAGCCAGGGCCATAGACAGATCCTGTCTCAAAAAACAAAAACATAAAATAAAGCAAACAAACAACAGCAACAACAACAAAATTCAGAGTGATGGAAAGTTTTTACATCATGGAGCTGAAAGTTTCTGTCCAAGAATTCAGAAAAAGTAATATCCAAAATTTGGAACAGTCCAGTTTCCATTGCCACGGTAATGAAGTTAATCTAAAGTCACTAGACCATAACCAATCAGTTCTTTATTGTGTGGAATGAGCTTCCATTCCAGAACTGTAAACAATGCCAATCAATATCTTTAAATTGAGCTGGGCCTGGTGGCACACAACTTTGATTACTGTCTTTAATCCCAGCACTAGGGAGGCAGAGGCAGCCCGGTCTCTGTGAGTTTGATCCAGCCTAGTCTCCATAGTTGAGTTCTGGGACAGGCAGGGCTACATAACAACACTTTGTCTCACAAAATAAAAAATAACCAAAACTTTAAATTGTAATACCCTTTGACAGATGGAACATAATCTCTAAACTTTAGTTTTTTGTTTTTGTTTGTTTGTTTGTTTTTTGAGACAAGGTTTCTCTGTGTATCCTTGGCTGTCCTGGAACACGCTCTATAGACCAGGTTGGTCTCAAACTCACAGAGATCCGCCTGCCTTTGTGATAGGATTAGTGAGATACTACTGCTGAGCTTCTAACCCCTGGCTAGGCAGCAGTGGTACACGCCATTAGTTCCAGCACTGGGGAGGCAGAGACAGGCAGAACTCTTTTTTTTTTTTTTTTTTGGTTTTTCGAGACAGGGTTTCTCTGTGTAGCTTTGCGCCTTTCCTGGAACTCGCTTTGGAGACCAGGCTGGCCTCGAACTCACAGAGATCCGCCTGGCTCTGCCTCCCGAGTGCTGGGATTAAAGGCGTGCGCCACCACCGCCCGGCTGCGGAGGCCAACCTTGTTTACAGAGTAAGTTTCAGGACAGCCAGGGCTACACAGAGAGACTCTTTTCTCTTTCTTTCTTTCGTTCTCTTTCTTCTTCCTCCTCCTCCCTCTTCTTTTCTCCTTCTCCTCCTCCTCCCCCTCCTTTTTTGGGGGGTTGGGGTGGGTGGAGGGGTGTGTGAGGAGACAGGGTTTCTCTGTGTAAGCCTGGCTGTCTTGGAACTCACTTTGTAGACCAGGCTCAGGCTAGCCTTGAACTCAAGAGATCCAGCTGAGAAACCTTTTCTTGAAAAACAAAAACAGAAACAGAAGGGCATGCTGGTGCCATTTAATCGAGCAGAGAGGCAGGTAGATCTCTGCTTTCTGCTGGATTTCTGTAATTTCGAGGCCAGCCTGGTCTACCAAGTGAGTTCCAGTATTGCGGGATAGAGACCTAAAGACCACCCAGCATGACCCAAGTCCGAATTGAGAATATGTATGAAGCTGCCGGCGAATACCTGGAGAGAAACTGCTCACAGAGCAGCCTCAAATGCATTTTCAGGGAGTCTTTAAAGGCTTTTGAACACAGAAAACTACATCCCGGGTGGTAGCTGCAGGGAGAAGTGAGACAAGCAGTTTAACTGAAGCCGAAAACATGCAGTTAGCTGAGGCATTTCAAGCCCTTATTTCTAGAACAGGGTTGGGTACCTTCCCACAGTAGAAAAGGGGTGTGCGTGTCAATTTCAGGTTAGCACAGAGGAACCTTTGCGCTGTCACTCCAGGACAGCCCGGGCCACAGAGATCATGTCCGCTCCAAATGGCAAAAAGTGTATTCAGCGCTGGGAACGTTAAGATAGAATCAACCAAAGGCCTTCGAACTCACAGCTGAGGAGGAAAAGCCAGCACTTTGCCTTGGAAAGTCAAAATCCTGAAGGTGCAGCACCCTCCGGAACTCACCACTTAGTGACAGACGGCAGGGCCTATCCCTGAGAAGCGGCGCTTTCGGGACCGGAAGTGAGCCCAAGAAGGCGGGATTATAGCCAGTTGGAACCGAGGCGTCCGGCGGTAAGAAGCGGTGATTGGTCGGATCTGAGAGAGGGGCGGGACCCGGGCAATTCAAAAGAGAGAAGCGGGTCCCGGAGAAGGGAGGATGAACATTGAGGCTAAGGCTAGGCCGAGGCGACGGGAGATGGCGGCGGCCACTTCAGGTACGGGGGTCGGGAGGGCGAGGCATCGCTGTGTGGAACTTACTGGGTAGCGGTTGTTCCGGAGGATCCAGGTGGCGCGGGGCGGAAGGGCGGGGAGTGGGCGCCGCAAGCCCCTGCGCTCTCTACTCGCGGCCTTCGGCGGCATAAACCGGCTTGAGACCCACTGCTCGGGGTCTGGTGCCCGGCTAGAGCCTGCGCACTTCTATGTGCGCTTCGGTTTGTTTCGTCGGTGAAGCCGAGCAGCCACCCGGTCCGTGAGCACTGAGTAGTGAGGAGACGTGGCTCCTGGGTGCCCAGAGATCTCAGGGAGCTGGACTCGGCGGCGGTGCGAATTCTGGCAAAGAGAAATCAAAGACAGTTTTCTTTCCCTCTAGCCGTGGAATGGCTATTGGGATGCTGTTTTCGTGTTGGAAAGGCTGTCAGGAGTTTCAGAGTCTTTTCTAAAAGGATTTGCATATGCCTCACTGAATTGTGGCTTGTAACTACTGTTCGTTCGGCCTTTGGGGAGAACGCCTCGCCCCAGGCACAGCTGCAAGCATTTTATAATCAATCATTTAATGTTTGTACTGAGAGCTGAGATGATTACTGCTAATGTTCTGTTTTTAAGAAAAAAAGTTTATTTTTATCTGTGTGCGCCACCTATGTGTGGATGCCCGCAGAGACCAGAAGAGGAAGTTGGATCCTCTAGAGCTGGAGTTACTACTAATGGTTGTGAGCCTGGTGTGGGTGCTGAGAACCACACTCAGGTCCTCAGGAAGAATAGTAGGCACTCTTAACCTCTAAGGTTCACCAGCCCCTGTACTTGGACAAGAGGAAACAGGCATAAATGAGCTAAGTAGCTTGTTCAGTTCAAGGTAACACAACTAGCAAATATTAGGGCGTTTAAATTCACACTCAGGTAATTAGATTGTAATGCCACTTCCCTAGACGATTATGCCAAACACAGGCTGAGACCCATTGTGTCTGGTATACAGTAAACACTGAAGTGTTTGAATATTGCCCCTTTCCTAGAGGAGGTTACAATTGTTTTCAATCAGTCTCATAAAATAATGTAATATGATGAAGGCAGTGCTAGGTAGGCATAAACTTGTAGGATAGAATCTGAAACAAACCCTTGGGTATTTTGAGAAGGCTTATTCAGAAAACGATAGTTACATGGGGCAGTGGTGGCCCACATCTTTAATCCCAGCACTCAGGAGGCAGAGGCAGTCAGATCTCTGAGTTTGAGGACAGCCTGGTCTACAAAGTGAGTTCCAGGACAGGCAGGGCTACACAGAGGAAACCTTGTCTTGAAAAACCAAAAACAACAACAAAAAGAAAGGAAAAGAGAAGAAAATGATAGTTAGGGCTGGACTTGTTGCTCTTCCAGAGGAGCTGGTTTCAGTTCCCAGCACCCACATGGTGGCTCACAACTCTGTAACTCCAGTTCCAGGGGATTCGAGGGCATCAGGCATGCACGCGGTGCACATACACACAAGCAAGCAAAGCACTCATACACATAAACAGATAAGGAAATATGAAAATGGTGATTAAAGTAGGTTTCAAAGTTTGGGCGGGATTTTACTCAACCTTGAAAAGGACAAAAAGAACAAGTGTTAAGACAAAGAAGGTCAAAATGTTCTTGATTCATTTTTCTCTTCACAAAAGAGAGGAGTGGGCTGGGAAGATAGCGTAGTCTGGTAAAGTACTTGTCATAGGACCCGAATTTCATCCCATCTTGGGGAACACCAGAGTTTGATCTTTGGCCTCCATGCCCACATGCATTCACACAGATACGTGTGGGTCTGCACACACAAAGAAGAGTAAAAGCCCGCCACTGGTGTAATCCTAACATCAGGAGGCCAAGGCAGGAGGATTGGAGCTCAAAGCAGCCTTTGTCAAAAAAAACAAAAATAAGTTTTTTAAAAGAACTGAAGCTAGAGAGATGGCTCAATGGCTAAGGAAACCGGATGCTCTTCAGAGGATCCTGATTGGGTTCCCAGCATCCACGTGGTAGCTCACAATCATCTGTAACTCCAGTTTCAGAAGATCTGATATACTCTTCTGACTTACACAGGCACCAAGCACATATGGGTTGTCTTAGTTAGAGTTAGCATTGCTGTGATGAAACACCATGACCAAAAGCAAGTTGAGGGAGAAAGGGTTTATTTGGCTTCCATTTCCACATTGTAATCAATCCATCACTGAAAGAATTCAGGGCAAGGAACTCAAGCACGGCTGCGACCTGGAAGCAGGAGCTGATGCAGAGGCCATGGAGGAGTGCTGTTTACTGGCTGCTCATGGTTTGCTCAGCCTGCTTTCTTATAGACCCCAGTCACCAGTCCAGAGATGGCACCACCAACAATGAGCTGGGCCCTCCCCCATCAATCACTGACTAAGAAAATGCTCTACAACTGGATCTTATGGTGGCACTTTTCTCAGTTGAGGTTCCCTCCTTTCAGATAACTCTGGCTTATGTCAAGCTGACATAAAACTAGCCAGCATAGTGATATGCAGACATACATAATATTAAGTAAATTTTAAATTAGGAACTGATAGGTATTGATGATTATGTGGAAGAAAGAAGACACTTAAAAATTCCTATTTGGGGGTCTGAGCTATTTGTGGATGTTAGAAAGCAAAGTGAGAAAACTGTTGCAGAGAGTGGGGTAAGGGTCAGTTTAGTGCAGGTGGACTTTGAGGTACCTATGAACCATCCAAGAGAAGGTAGACGGTAGCTTGGAAGGAGGGTCTATGATGGAAGATGCTACCTGATGTGAAGGTCAGAGGCGTCATCGGCTTGAAGAGGCTTGAAGATGATGATCATTTAAAAAGAGGAGAAAAAGATCATTGGTGCCAACAGAGTAGGTGCCTGTGCCTGTACAGTGAATCGACACTATCTGGTCCAGGGATGACATTTGTACCCAATGAACATGTGCAAGTGTCTGGAGAGACCTGTTTTGCTTGTTACGACCTGGAGATGAAGGAGAATGCTTCTGGAATCTAGTGGGTATGTGTTAAACAGTCTGTAATGTGACGGCCCCACAACAAAGAATTGGACAACTCACAATGCTAGTGGTACAGAAGTTGACAGAGTGTAGGACATAGAACATTTAACACTGCTGAACTAAGGAAGGTCGGAAAACTAGTAAAACAATCAGGGAAAGGGATGGCATAGGAACCAAGGGAAAAGCATGTCTCCTGAGAGGGTCGAATTCACACAGGATTCAGACCGAGACTGAGCGTGCCTGCTGGATCTAGCAGTATAAAGGTCCCTGAGGATTCTGCCGACTAGTTGTTGAGATTAAAGTGTGTTAAGAAAGAGAATAATAGGCCGGGCGGTGGTGGCGCACGCCTTTAATCCCAGCACTCGGGAGGCAGAGCCAGGCGGATCTCTGTGAGTTCGAGGCCAGCCTGGACTACCAAGTGAGTTCCAGGAAAGGCGCAAAGCTACACAGAGAAACCCTGTCTCGAAAAACCAAAAAAAAAAAAAGAAAGAATAATAATCATAAAAGCAACAGCTAACATTGAAGCTTGCAGGGCACTATGCTGAACACTGTATGCATATTTAGTCTGAACGGATCTTCTGTAATAAATACTGTTATTATTTTTGTAGAGAGAAGTGAAGTTTGGAGTGGCTCAGTGACTATCAGGGTTAGATAACTACCAAGCAGAATTTGTCTTCGATTCCAAATGTCGCAGTATACACAGAAGAGGGTCTGTTAATTCATGCATGGACTTCAGAATCAGACCTCCTTTAAAGCTGTGTCACCAACAGGCTGTTAAAGGAGGGCAAATTGCCTGAACTAGTAGTTCCCAACCTTCCTAATGCTGGGACCCTTTAAATCAGTTCCTCATGTTGTAGGGACCCCCAACCAGAACATTATTTTCGGTGCTACTTTGTAACTGTAATTTTGCTACTGTTATGAATCATGTAAGTATCTGTGTTTTCTGATAGTCTTAGGTTTTTGTGTGTGTGTGTTTGTTTTGTTTTTCTCTGTTTAGCCTTGGCTGTCCTGGAACTAGATTGGTAGACCAAGTTGGCCTCGAACTCACAGAGATCCGCCTGCCTCTGCCTCCCAAGTGCTGAGATTAAAGGTGTGTGCCACCACTGACTAGTGAGTTGGTATTTTTCTTATTCCCATTTTACAGGTGAGAAAGCTGGGGCATAGTAATTTAAAAAAAAAAAAAAAATCCCTAATTTAGTTGTAAGTAGGGGAGCTGGAATTTGAGCAGAGGCTGATTGACAAGAAAACCAAGATACATGGATGTTAACACCTAAAGCTGGTCTCTTCCAGGAGCTGGTCGCTGTCTAAGCAAGGTAGGGGCTAGTCGGCGCCCACCTCCAGCTCGAGTAAGGGTGGCTGTACGACTGCGGCCATTTATGGATGAAGCAACAAGAGCGAACGAAGCCCCCTGTGTACGTGGCATAGACAGCTACTCTCTTGAGGTGGCCAACTGGAGGAAATACCAGGAGACACTCAAGTATCAGTAAGCTTCAAGCCACTTCTCTATCTAGGCCTGCTCACTTTATCACTTTCTGAGATCTATTCTATGCCTTGCTAGGCAAAGCTTTGTTCCCCAAACCTTCATTTGATTGTTTAGATGTTCGTGGTATATAGTGAATACTGTAGAGAAAGGCTAGAGGTTGAACTGAATGTCAGTCTTGGGGACATTGGGACAAAGGGAGGAAGGAGTAGTGTAGTCCCAGCTAGGTTGTAGACAATACATGGAAAGGGTGGGAAACAGATGTGGTGGGCAATCCAAAGAAGACTATGCAGATTTAGGAATGGCACACAAGAGGACAACTACTTAAAATTTCTGTGGGGTTTTGGTGGACAGAAGTTTCTGTCCCGCAGCTACTCTCAAATAATCACTCAGAGGCTTACTATGAATTACAAATGCTCGGCCAATAGCTCAGGCTTGTTACTGACCAGCTCTTACAACTTAACCCATTTTTATTAATCTATGTGCTACCCTGAGGTTCGTGGCTTTTACCTCTACCCCATTTTGTGTGTCTGACTTCTTCTGGCTGGTGACTCTCTCTCTCTACCCTTCTCCTTCCCAGCATTCTCAGTTCGGCTCTCCCACCTAACCTTATTCTGTTCAACTATTGGCTAGTCGGCTTATTTATTAAACCAATCATAGTGTACAAAGGGATTACTCCACAGCCGTTTTAAAGTTTAAACTTGGCCTGTTAGTCTGACCTTGAGGGTGGCAAACCACAGCCTGCAGGTCAAGTCCAACGAGGTGTCTTCCATTTAGTTGTTTTATTTTTGTCTGTCTGTCTGTCTGTTTTTAAAACGAGCTCGTATAAACACAGGCTGGCCGTGTACTCTTGATTCTCTTGCTCTCCTAAGTGCTGGGACCACAGGTGTGTGCTGCCATGCCCAGCTCAAGAGGCTTTTCTGTGAATAAAGTTGTATCGTTTATTTACATAATGTAGCTGTTTGACTAGCCTTACAATTAAGTGGTTGTGAAAGGAACCACATGGTCACAAAACCTAAAATATTTGTTGTCTGATTTATTTTTTATAGGAAGTTAGGTTGCTCTAGTTCTAGGTCCTTAATAGTTTGGCTCCCGTTCCTTTCCAGTCTTCTCTTGTCCGCATGCATTGAATTCTAAGTCACCGTGCACTGAGTAAGCTGTGTTTGAATCTAGACCAGCCTGCCTTTTACCTACCCTGTTCAAGTGTTACCTCAAGAAAAATGTCGGGGAGCCCTTTCACACCACATGTGTGACACTGTTACTGCGGATATGTAAACAAATGTCTACTCACCCCAGAGTGGGAACCAGCCACAGACCAAAGTAAGGATACCACCAATATCCAACTTGGTGGTCCAATCAGTTTTATTGGGTTTACTCACAGGAATATGTAAGTTATAGCAAGTAAGTTTCTACAGCAGCAGAAGTGACTCACAGACCATTGCATCACCAAAGCCCACCCCAGGATAGCTGACAGCTCACAATAGCTAGGAACCTGGAGAACGCTGCACAGCCAGCAGGTGGTGAGCCTTTTCCAAGCAGCCCTTACTGCTTTATAGGGTTAGGGAGGGAGGTGCCTCGTTTACCTGTCAGTCTTGGGAACTTCCTGAAGCCTTTGCCTTACTCACTTCCTGAGTTTAGGCTTCCCTCCAAAATGAAAATTACTACACAAAACACCAGGTCTTGTTGCTGTGTCCTTCTGCTTGGCAACACTTCTCCCAGCAGAATAGAATCATTTATTCTTTCTCGTGTGCTCTTATCTTTGTCTCCTGAGTCATTACAAAATATGGGTATCTGGCCTACCAGATTGCTATGTGAGATTAATTTTGTTTCCTAATGTCAGTACAGTGACTGGAATAAAGTAGATTTTCCAGGGACACTTTCAAGGTCTTTGTTCAAGAAACGGGACAGAGCCTTAAAAGCCAGCCTCATCTAGGTTTGGGGTACCAATCTAACACCCTACTAATGCCCTCCCTTCTTCTGCCTACAGGTTCGATGCCTTCTATGGGGAGAAGAGCACTCAGCAGGACATCTATGTGGGCTCCGTACAGCCCATCCTAAGGCACTTGCTGGAAGGGCAGAATGCCAGCGTGCTTGCCTATGGGCCTACTGGGGCAGGTGAGCAAGCCAGAAGAGAACTATACATGAGAAAGAGCTGGGAACTGAGAGGAAACTTCACAGCTTTCTCTGCTCTTTTTTTTCTAGGGAAGACACACACAATGCTGGGCAGCCCAAAACAACCTGGAGTGATTCCCAGAGCTCTCATGGACCTCCTGCAGATTACAAGGGAAGAAAGTGCAGAAGGCCGGCCATGGGACCTTTCTGTCACTATGTCCTATTTAGAGATCTACCAGGAAAAGGTGAGGTGTCAAAATTAGAGTGCCTTGTAGAACATGAAGCTCTGCTCTAGTATAAGGAGGTGTAATGAGACCTGGAAAGATGGGGTTGGGTATCAGATCCAGCAGAGAGAAGACTCCTAATCTCCATGAAGCAAGCACCCTCTTCATGGAGAAGTGGCCTTACTGTCACTGCTCAAATAGGTGTTAGACCTCTTGGATCCTGCATCAGGAGACCTAGCGATCCGAGAAGACTGTCGAGGGAACATCCTGATTCCCGGCCTCACGGAGAGGCACATCACTACCTTCTCTGACTTTGAGCAGCACTTTCTCCCAGCCAGTAAAAACCGTGTGGTAGGAGCCACCCGGCTTAACCAACGCTCTTCGCGTAGCCATGCAGTACTCCTGGTCAAGGTAAGGCCGCTGACAGAAGGACCTGGGAAGCCCCTGAAGCCTAAGCTAAGTCTGGGCCCCTTGCTCTTCCCCTAGGTGGGACAGCGCGAACGGTTGGCTCCATTTCGCCATCGGGAAGGAAAGCTCTACCTTATTGATTTGGCTGGTTCTGAGGACAACCGTCGCACAGGCAACCAGGGCATTCGGCTCAAAGAGAGTGGAGCCATCAACACCTCCCTCTTTGTACTGGGCAAAGTGGTGGACGCACTAAACCAGGGCCTCCCTCGTATACCGTACCGGGACAGCAAGCTCACTCGCTTATTGCAGGTCATGTCGACCCACATTGGGTCAAAAGGGACTAGAGAAGGCGGCTCTTAGGCCTGCTGGTTAGGGTAGTGGGAACTGTTGTCAAGGAATAGGAAGGCTAGGAGTCTGAACCATACTCCAATCCTTACCCCTCAGGACTCTCTGGGTGGCTCAGCTCACAGCATCATTATTGCCAACATTGCTCCTGAAAGACGTTTTTACCAGGATACAGTCTCAGCGTTGAACTTCACTGCTAGGTCCAAGGAGGTGATTAACCGGCCTTTCACCAATGAGAGTCTGCAGCCTCATGGTGAGGACTGGGGAAGACAGAATGGAATGGCCAGGACAATGGGGAATTTGCCCAAACCACTGAGCACCAGCACTGAGGCTGACCACTTTGATTCTCCTTTATATCCCTCCAATCTTCTCAGCCTTGGCACCTGTTAAGCTGTCTCAGAAAGAACTGTTAGGCCCGTCAGAGGCAAAGAAAGCCAAAGGCCCTGAAGAAGAATCAACTGGGAGCCCTGAGTCTATAGCAGCTCCAGCTTCTGCCTCCCAGAAACTAAGGTGAGAGTCAGGCCTTCCCTGCAGAATCTGTAATAGCTGTAAGCTAACAAGAGGTTTAACCTGTCAAATCCTTGAGCAAAGCAGCTATGTACCTTTTTCCCAATGAATTCATTCACTTTTAAGACCTGTTCTAAACTCACCAAAGGGCCAAACTGTTACTCTGGATAAGGGCAAGCTCAGAAATGGGGCATATCAAACTCAGACCCTGACCTTGAGGATTCACTTGTAGGAGAAGGGGAACCTAAGTTTATAAAGCCAGGTAGATAATACAGAAAAGAATGGCACCAGACGGTTAATCCCAAATCTTTAATCCCAGCACTTGGGAGGTAGAGGCAGACGGATCTCTGAGTTCTAGGCCAGCCTGGGCTATAGACTGAGTTCCAGGACAGCCAGGACTATGCAGAGGAACTCTGTATCTTAAAAACAAAAAGAATGCTTGTTCTGTGAAACTCAGGAAGACAAATTATTTCTACTGTTTGCCCTACATTTTCTGATGCTGCTCTTCTAAGGCTTGTACATAAAGAACAGGACATAATCTATGTCTTGAAGGAGCTAGTTCAGTGTAGCACAGATCATCTAACTGGGCATTATTGGAAAGATGGCATCTTCACTTTGAGGGTGACGATCTCAGGCAGAACAAGGATGGGTAGAAGTTACTGTGCTCGGATAGCCAGGACTGCTGGGACAAGACTCTTCTGTAGACAGCCCACTGGATAAGGGCTTCTCATCCTGTCTCTAGTAGCTGTCTATACCTCCTAATGAGGACCTCTTCTATGGAGCTTCCCCAACTTGCTTCCAAATGGCCACACCCTCAGCTCTTACTCTTGTTTTTCATGTGTACGTGTTTGTGGTGTGCATGTGTATGTGGGAAGGCTTGAGAACTCCCTGTTGTGGCCAGCTTGCTTGGGGGCGTCCTGTGTCTGCCTTCTGAGGCTGGAATTATAGGCAGGCTGTCACACTCACTTGGCATTTACTGTGGGCTCTCCAACCTCTAGACCCTTTGCTTACATGGCAAGTATTTTAATTGCTGAGTTATCTCCCCTGCTCTCTGTCTCTTTTTCTTTATCACACACAAGTGCCTCTTAGACAGGGCAGTATGGTAGGTCCCTAATGTGTGGCATCCAGTGCTTATTAACTGCTTTTCATCTGCTAATCTGGCATCCCTGGGAGTTTACTTCACCCGATAAAGACACTATACTCAGAGGCTAGTTAACTAGAGTTCCCAAACAGACAACACCAAGTTAAGGCATGACAAAGGTAGTCCTGCTCTACTGGAGGTGATGAGAGAGGAGGTAGGTGGGAGTAACCTTTTTTCTACTCAGCCTCTTACAGAAACTAAGCAATATGGACCCAGCCATGTTGGAGAACCTCCTGAGCTTGGATCGTTTGCTGGGCTCCCAGGGGAGCCAAGGGACACCTCTACTGAATACCCCAAAGCGAGAGCGAATGGTACTCATTAAGACAGTGGAGGAAAAGGACTTGGAGATTGAGGTAATTGTTGGGGAAGGTGACCTAATATTCCAACCAGCTTTGAGAAGTATTCCTAGTATCTTCAGACAGGGAAGGATACTTAGATGCTGATCTAGAGTCCAGTTTTCATAAGATTTATTTATATATATGGGTTTTATGCTACCATGTATGGCTGTGAACTACATGTGTGTAGTGCCCATGGTAGGCCAGAAGAGGGTGCAGGATACCCTGGGTCTGGAGTTAAAAGACAGTTATGAGCTGCCATGTGGGTGCTAGGGTTCAAACCTGGGTTAAGAAACAGTTGAGATCAGATAAGAGGGGTGGGGGGATCCAAATTAAAAATACATTCCCTGGGGCTAGAGAAATGACTCAGTGGTTAAGAGCATATATTGTTCTTAAAGAGGACCAGAGTTTGACTCCTAACACCTCAGACAGCTCACAACTGCCTGGAACTTTCAGCTTCAGGGAGCCTACACCTCTCTGATGTCTTTTGTCATACACAGACACAAGTACATACTCATAAATAATAAAAATATCACCCGGGGCTAGAGACTGACTTAGCAGCTAAGAACACTGGCTCAGTTCCCAGCACCCACATGGCCGCGCATGACTACCTGTAACTCCAGTTCCAAGGGATCCAACCCTGTCTTCTAACCACAAGGGCACCAGGCACACACAGTGCACAGACAGACATGCAGGCAGAACACCCACACACCAAGAGAGCAGGCAGCTCTCTTCGTGAGTTTGGGGTTGGTCTGATCTACATACCAAGTTCCAGGCCTGCCGTAGCTACATGGTGAGACATTGTCTTAAAACAAAACAAAACAAACCCCTCCCTGCTCGAAGACTTGTTCTGTCTCAGGTGGCCCTCTGACCATACGAATGCCCTTAGTTATTTTGAACCCTGTCTCGTTGATTCTCCTGCTGGTCCTACCTCGATCCTCTTGGACCGCAGAGCTCTCTGCCTGCTCACCTTCCTAATCCACTGCTTTGGGGCTGGAGCTCAGTCCCATCTTCCCATGATCCTTTCCAACAGAGGCTTAAGATGAAGCAAAAAGAATTGGAGGCCAAGGTACTGGCCCAGGAGGTGCTGGATCCAAAGGAGAAAGAGAACACCCTGGCATCTCCCCAGCCCCTCCCTTCTTGTCCAGGCACAACGGCAAGGCCCCTGAAAAGGGCTGTGGTGATGCCTCTGCAGCTAAGTAAGTTTAGTCCCAGGGTCTCGGGAGACGCAGGGTCTCAGAAATGTGTCACTCATCCCCTCCCCTGCATCTGAAGAAGTCCTGGCTGCTTGTCATGGCAGTTAAGACAGCAGGGTATTTATTGGCTGAATATGGTGGCACACACCTGTAATCCAGCATTCAGGAGGGTGAGGCAGAAGGATCGCTCTAAATTCCAGGTTAGCCTTGGTCATAGAGTGAGACCCTGTCTCAAAAGAAAAAAAAAATTGGAAGCATCAAAAGCTCGAGGTTGAAGAAATGGGGGTAGCAAATGGCTACCAGGGAAGTCGGAAGGGAAAGAGATGACCTGTGCCCTGACCAGTTCCTAATTCCTGCTTTCAGTTCAGAAGCAGGCAGAGTCAAAGATTCATATTCTGAAGAAAGGCCACAAAAGAAAGGTGAGCCCGACCCCACCCCCGGTTTTCCAGCTGGGAACCTTTTGCATAGGACAGACACTGGATGAAATATGGGTGTATCTCACAGAGTGGGTATCCACCGTTGGTCAGTTTCCTTTCTTTTTGATGCCCTTGCACTTGGGCTGGCTACTCACTAGATCTAGTATGTAGCCTAGCTCCTGCTCGCTATAAACTGTAGAGCCCACTTAGGGAAACCGATAGGCATCTAAGAATCTCTCACACAGAATGGTCTTCACACAAAATGAACACTAGAACTGCCCCTAACTGTCAGGATGAGAGGATGCTTACTGTTTTCTCTTTTCTTTCTCCTGTATTGGAGATTGAACCCCAGTTTTCAAGCATTGTAGGCACTTAAGTGCTCTACCATTGAACTGTAAACTCCTCCCAGTCAGACTTGATGTGTACGTTCATTTATTCATCGAATCTTCACAGTGACTGAGAAAAATGCTAGTAATTAAACAAGTCCAACAAATTAGTACCAGGAGGAGGAGGCTGGAGAGGTGGTTAGGCGCCTGGTCTTGGCACAGTGATCCACAGGCCTTGGCTGTCATTTCTGTTACCTCATAGCTGGAGCCATCACATGTGTCCAAGCCTGTGGAAAAGGCTGAGGACTGCTGGGAGCTACAGATTAGCCCAGAGTTACTGGCACATGGACGCAAAAAATTATTGGATCTGCTGAATGAAGGCTCAGCCCGAGATCTGCGCAGCCTGCAGCTCATTGGCCAGAAGAAGGCCCAACTCATCCTGGGCTGGAGGGAGCTCCATGGCCCCTTCAGCAAGGTAACAACCTAGGGGGCAGGTGGAGAGGGGTGCCCCCGTTCTTTGTCCACCTCCTCACTGCTGCTGACCCACTAGGTGGAGGATCTGGAACAGGTGGAAGGCATTTCTGGGAAGCAGGTGGAGTCTTTCCTGAAGGTAAGGAAGAACATCTCTGCCCTTTCTCTACCAGCCTGCATGTTGCGCCCCGCCCCCACACCCCACCGCCCCCAACCCTACCCCCAGCTGCTATACTGACGCACTTTACTCTTTCTTACAGGCGAACCTCTTGGGCTTGGCTGCCGGCCAGCACTGTGGCCCCTCCTGACTACCAGCTCTTAACACTACCTTTTCCTTTTAAAACCCTTGTATAATGACGTCTTCGTGTAAATACAGTTTTTATTCCATGCTTGAGCCTGGTTTTTAGGGATGGCGGGGCTGGGGTGGGAGTCACAATTGCCCTTGGGACCAGGATCAAGCTCAGCGGGACACTTATCTGGGCGCCATCTTTGGGAAACCCCGAACTAGTCCAAGATTGTAAATAAACCACTGGAATGGGAAGGGGACGGTGGCCTAGATGAATCAAAACGCTGAAGCCGAAGCCTAAGCAAGCACAACGACCGTTAGGCGGGCACGCGCTTCTAGTCAAACCCCGCCCCACTAACTCCCTGGGCGCGCTCCCCATTCTGCTCAGGACGCCATCGGTGTTGTGTGCGCGTGCGCGTGCAATAACGGCTGCTGGCAGAGGGAAGTGGGGGGTGGAATCGTTGAAGTGGGGGAAGAGAAGCCGCCTAGTCTCCCGCGCGCCCACCACCTGCACCGTCGCCAACCAATCAGCAGCCGTCTCGAGGGTCTCGCGCTCGGGGCGACTCGGGCTGCTGGGTGGCTCCCCGGTCCCTCCTCCCTCCAGAGTCCCTCCCGCGCCTCCCCCCTCCCGCTGGCCCCGCGCGCACTCGCGCTCGCGCCCGCTCCAGCCTCTTGTGTGTCCTCGCGCCCCCCGCCCGCCCTCCGGCGCGCAGTGTGCTCCGCTCCCCCACCCTCTTCCCCCCTCCCTCCCCGCGCGCCGCCTCCCCGGGTCCCCCCTCCCCCACCGCCGCCTCCTCCCGCCCCAGGGTGAGCGCGAGCCGCCTCCCTCCTCCCTCCGCCATGGATCCCAGCAACTGGGGCAGCTTCATCTTCCAGGTAACAACCCCCGCCCCCCCGCCCCTGCCCCCCCTCCCACACCCCCTCCCGCCCGCCCTCCCTCCCGTCCCACCCCCCCCTCCGCGCGCCCGGTGCGCGCGCAGCTGTCCCCCTCCCTCCCTCGCGCCCTCCCCCGCCCTCCCCGAGGCGCCGGCTGGGCGCGCGCGCGCGGCGGGGGCCGAAGCTGCTCCCTCGCTCCCCCCACCCCGCCCCGCCGGGCTCCAACCGCCGCCACCGCCGCCGTCGCCGCCGCCGCCCGGGCCCCCGCCCCCGGCCCCGGCCCTCGGCCCCGCGGGGCCTCTCGCCCCCACCCAGGGGGCGTCGCCGCCGCCGCGCTCCGCGCTCCGCGCCCCGCAAGACGCCCTCCTTCCCTCCCTCCCGCCGGCCGGGGTGCGCGGGCGGCGGGGCGGCCCTCGGGCCATGCGTTCGGCTCGGCCCAACCCGGCCGGCCGGGGGCGGCGCCCCGAGCCCGGGCCCCGCGCGGCCCGTGCCCCCGGCTCCCGCTGAGCTCCGGGGGCCCCACCGTGGCCGAGGCCATGTTCCCCGTGTTCCCTTGCACGCTGCTGGCCCCCCCCTTCCCCGTGCTGGGCCTGGACTCCCGGGGGGTGGGCGGCCTCATGAACTCCTTCCCGCCACCTCAGGGTCACGCCCAGAACCCCCTGCAGGTCGGGGCTGAGCTCCAGTCCCGCTTCTTTGCCTCCCAGGGCTGCGCCCAGAGTCCATTCCAGGTGAGTAGGGGCCGGGCCGGGCGGGCAGGCGCCGACCAGCGACCGCGGCCCACACGGCGCCTTGTCTCTGCAGGCCGCGCCGGCGCCCCCACCCACGCCCCAGGCCCCGGCGGCCGAGCCCCTCCAAGTGGACTTGCTCCCGGTCCTCGCCGCTGCGCAGGAGTCGGCCGCCGCCGCCGCCGCCGCCGCCGCCGTGGTTACGGCACCCCCAGCCCCTGCCGCCGCCTCCACCGTGGACACAGCGGCCCTGAAGCAGCCTCCGGCGCCTCCTCCGCCACCCCCTGCCGTATCCGCACCAGCCGCCGAAGCCGCGCCCCCCGCCGCGGCCGCCACCATCGCCGCCGCCGCCGCCGCCGCCGCGGCCGCCACCGCTGTCGTCGCCCCGACCTCCACAGTCGCCGTGGCCCCCGTTGCATCTGTCTTGGAGAAGAAGACAAAGAGCAAGGGGCCCTACATTTGCGCCCTGTGCGCCAAGGAGTTCAAGAACGGCTACAACCTGCGGAGGCACGAAGCCATCCACACGGGAGCCAAGGCGGGCCGGGTCCCTTCGGGTGCTATGAAGATGCCCACCATGGTGCCCCTGAGCCTCTTGAGTGTGCCCCAGCTGAGCGGGGCCAGCGGGGGAGGGGGAGAAGCCGGGGCTGGCGGAGGCACAGCCGCGGTGGCGGCCGGTGGCGTTGTGACCACGACCGCCTCTGGAAAGCGCATCCGGAAGAATCACGCCTGCGAGATGTGCGGCAAGGCCTTCCGCGACGTCTACCACCTGAACCGACATAAGCTGTCGCACTCGGACGAGAAGCCCTACCAGTGCCCTGTGTGCCAGCAGCGCTTCAAGCGCAAGGACCGCATGAGTTACCACGTGCGCTCACATGACGGCGCTGTGCACAAGCCCTACAACTGCTCCCACTGTGGCAAGAGCTTCTCCCGGTGTGCAGGGGCCTCGGCTGCCCACGGGGCCGATGGTGGGGGGAGGGCGGCGAGGGGGCCTGGCTGGCTGGTGGGGAGGCGGCTCCCGAGGCTGGGGACGGGGACCACTCCCAGGGAGGAGGGGAGTGAGCCTCGTGGTTCCTGGGAGCAGGGGGTGGTACTTTAGAGGAGGTGGGTCTTTGGGCTGAGGGCGAGCTGCCTCTGGGCAGAGAGAGAATCCCAGTTTGAGGGATTTCCTGCCTGCCTAAGGACCGAAGCTGTGGGGGGAAACGCTGGGGCTTTTGGGAAGGGCCTTTGGAGGAACCTAGGAAGATTGGAGGCACACCTCACCTTGGAGCCTTAGTCCTAACCCGCCCCCCACCTCAACATGTCCCTAGGCCGGATCACCTCAACAGTCACGTCAGACAGGTGCACTCGACAGAGCGGCCCTTCAAATGTGAGGTAGGAAGCCCGCTGCCGCCTCTCCTGGTGTCCATGATTTTGATCCTCATTGTAGCTGTCTGAGGTCAGCCTCTCAGACCCCCTTTTTCTCTCTCTTTTTGCCTTTTCACTCCATTTTCGCATTTCTCCTTCAAGGCCTGGTCATCTCACGCCCATTTCCTACAGATCAAAGACCCCCAAGGCTCTGATCCCTTTACCTTGCTCCCTTCTCTCTCCTCCCCGAAGCTTTAACTCTCCTGTGACCCCCCCACGCCCTCCCCCCAGAAATGTGAGGCAGCTTTCGCCACGAAGGACCGACTCCGCGCGCACACAGTACGACACGAGGAGAAGGTGCCATGTCATGTGTGTGGCAAGATGCTGAGCTCGGCTTATATTTCGGACCACATGAAGGTGCACAGCCAGGGCCCTCACCATGTCTGTGAGCTCTGCAACAAAGGTACATGCTAAGGGATGTCAGGAGGGCAGGGACAACGGGGGGGGGGGGGTGCTGGGCACAGAGCTGGTGGGGTTTTCACGAATGTGGGTTAAGGGCGCTGTAGCCAAGAGCTCGTGGCATGTAGAGAGCCCTTTAAGAAGCAAGCACAACAGCATTGGAAGTAACTGAACATCTAAATTCTGTGCCATGGCTCAGAGGAGACAGTAGCAGAGATTCAACCTCCTGGGTGTGCCTGGGGACAGTGAAGTGGGACATGGTTGCTTTGTGAAAGGAGTACTCAAGAAAGCCAGTCCCCAGGGTTTCAACTTTGCAGCCACAAGTTCTTGTCTCCAGCTCCTGGGGCAAGTGGAGTCCATCAGCACGGGTGTGACAATCACACACCCTGCCCAGTAACAGAGAAAGCTGTCTTCATGTGGTTATTCACTAAACGAGCTGAGATTGGGGGCACTGGAGAGGGGGGACACAGCCGTCTCTACTGAGAGTCAACCCTTCAAAAAGCTAGGCAACAGTGTCCTGTCACGTGGGAGAGATCTCCCAGTTATGGGGGAAGATCTCTAGATATTAAGGATTAAGAAACAGGCACCACTCGACCCAGGCCCCAAGCTCAGGGAGGGAAGGACTATGTCCCGTGGAGTAGTTGGCCCCAGCCTACCAAGGATGTGGGAGGAGGACAGTGCCACGTGAGGAGGGTGTCCCCAGCCTAGGAGAACAGCCCTGTCTCTGGGGTCTCCACCAGGCTGACCCCCACCCCCATCCCAATCCCCCCCCCCCCCCCCATAGGCTTCACCACAGCAGCATACCTGCGCATCCACGCGGTGAAGGACCATGGGCTCCAGGCCCCGCGGGCTGACCGCATCCTGTGCAAACTGTGCAGCGTGCACTGCAAGACCCCTGCCCAGCTGGCCGGCCACATGCAGACCCATCTTGGGGGGGCCGCCCCTCCTATCCCGGGAGATGCCCCCCAGCCACAGCCTACCTGCTGAGGGGGACCCCTGCACCCACCAGGCAAGGCGTGGGACATGGCTGGGGGGGGCAGGATGGGATGTGTGGGACAAGGGAGTTCAAAGGGCCCAATAGGGGATCTCAGGAAGGCCAGGGATGTCAGTCTGTCACTCAGATTAGGGAGACTTGGGGTCCACAGAGGGCAGTAAAGAATTGCTCTATCTGGGTAAGCAGGCAGGCCAAAGCCTCCGGGGGCCAGATAGGAAGTGAGTAACGGCTGTGTCCCAGGGGATGTAGGGAAATAGTTGGAAAGTCTGGGGTACCGGGCATGTTTCTTGCCATTCAGGTTGTGCTGTGATCCTTGGTGTTTCTCACTGTAGGTACTGGTGAGGTTTGTCCGATGGCAGCGGCGGCAGCAGCAGCGGCGGCGGCAGCGGCGGCGGCAGTGGCAGCCCCTCCCACAGCTGTGGGCTCCCTCTCTGGGGCAGAGGGGGTACCAGTGAGCTCTCAGCCACTTCCCTCCCAGCCCTGGTGAGCTCCAAGTTGATGGAGGAGAGGAGAAGAGTGGAGGAAAGCTCTTCTTGGTACAGTCTCCTCTTCCCACCAGCTCCTCACTGCTCTCCATCAACCAAGGAGCCTCCAGACAGGAGGAAGAAGGAATTCACTAGGTTTTAACAATGTTTCTCCTGCTCCTTTCTTCTCCCTATCAGAGCTGACCCTACAAACACCTGTCCCTTGAGTTGTGTTGAAGTCCCCTGGACAGTGAGCAGGGGTGGCAGAGGACAGCAGCAGCCACTGCCCTCAACCTTTACCCCCTTGCCTTTCCTCCCGGGATCTGTGAGCCTTTCCCTAGAAGGTCCTGTGCTCTCCTCCTCCAGTCCCTCCTCCTGTCTGCTGCCCCTTCCTGGGGAGTTGGTGCTTTCTTTTTGTTGTTGTTTTTTTTCCCAGGGGGAGGGAGGAGAGAGAGGAGGGGGATTAAGATTCTGTCCCAGAGGAGGGATAGGTGGTATTTTGAGGGGCAGAAGCGGGGAAGGCAGAGGGATGCTTTCAGTAAGGTAGGGTGATTAAACCCTACACATCCTACTGGAGTGTGTGTCCAGGGAAAAGCCAAAGGGAGCGTCAGAAGGAGCCACTAGGGCCAGAGGCAGAACAAGAGAGATGGAATCTTAGGGGCCAGGGTGAAGGAGGAGAGCCAGGGAAAAGAGGTGCTTCCTGGGGGTGGGGGAATGCAGCCACGGTGTCTCCCCCTTCCCTCTTCCACCCCAGCCCCAGCCCTGGTCTTTTCTCCTCTTTCCCACAACAGAAGCTGTGGCCCTGGCCATGTCATCGTGTTCCCGTGTCCCTTGCATGTTCCCCCCTTCCCCTCCCTCCTTTTGCGCAGACCCCATTACAATAAATTTTAAATAAAAATTTGTCTCTGGGTTGCTAAGTTCTCTTCACCAAGCCCCATGTGTGTGCACCTCATCCATTTTAGGGAGAGGAAGGGTTCTTTGTTGGCCTTCAGCTTAGTCCCAACTTTTCTGGCCCTGCCAATTGCTGACTTCCCTCCTGAGGTATAGTCTCTAGCTACAGCACCCATTTAGGGTGGCCTCAAGAATCCAGAGGCTGTAGAGAGCAAATTCCAGATCTCTAGGGAATGCCCACTGGAGGTTTGGGATGCCCAAGCTGGCCATTCATGGTATCCTTCCTTCCACAACCCAGCAGCAGGCTGCACAGAGCCCCGCCAAATGCCTGCACATTTCAGAGGCCATGGTTGGTGCAGATGCAGAAGGGTTGGGTAAACTGTATTCGGTTCTACCATGGTGGTCATAGACTGTTTGCCCTAGCCGTTCCAGGGTGGCCCTGAGCATCTATCTGCCTAGCTTGCTGGAATTTTCTTTTTCTGGGCTTCACCCAGACCTTTCCAGAGACCCTCAAGCTTCCATCACGCATTGCTGTTGCTTTCCTGGAGTAGGGAGGCTTCAGCTCTGCAGGCTCCTTTCACTTGAAACCCTACGCGGTACCCTTGCAGCCGCCCCAAACTTAAGACCTGTCTCCTTAACCCATCTATGCTGCTCAGGATGCCTCCTCCCAGTCCTCACTGGTCGGTCTCACAAACCCAGGTCTCTGCCAGGATCCCCCGGTGACCGTTGGACGGGAGGGGCCGAGGACTTAGGAAGGGGGTGCCCCACCAGGAGGTGCGCGTGAGAAAGGGCAGGGAGGGGGCACGAGTGGTCCCCGGGCCGGTTACCCAGGTAACACGGGGCCTGGCACGAGGTTCCCTTGGGCTGTCCGGGAGGGGCAGGAGGCGTGCTAGGGGCGGGGGCGGCGCGGCAGCAGTGCAGCTTAGGGGAGGGGACCAGAGAAGAAGGGCCGAGCAAACCGGGAGGAGAAGGAGGGGAGATCCGCCGCCTCCCTTCATTGCTCACAGACTTGTTCCCTCCCGGTCTGCGGCTGCTGCAGCGGCAGTGGCGGCGGGACGTAGGAGCAGTCCCGAGGCTGGCAGCGGATGAGACTGGGACGGACTGAGGCCGCCGGTAGGAGTGGACGACAGACAGCTGGGTGGCATGGGAATGCAGGTGCCAGGCGAACTAGAGGGTGGTGCTGGGTGCGCCATGCCATCGGGAGAGGATCCCCTCCCCCTCAGCTTCTCTGAAGGCAACAAGGGAACCCCTAAAAGAAGGGCTGAGAAGGGATGCACAAGATGATGCCAGGTCTCTCCAGAAAGGGGCGGGGAGGAAGGGGGGCATTTGAGCCCAAATGCGCAGCAAGAAAACCCGCACTGCTCAGGTGGTGCCCGGAAAAGAAGGGAAGGGTACAAAAGGAGCAGAATGTGTGGGGTTGTCTGTCCGTCTGTCTGTTGGAGTGTCTGTTCTATGCACAGGTTTTGATGAGCCGGGGTACCTTCGAGGTGGGGTCTGAGAGTCTGGATCTTGTTGGGTGTGTTGGATGGATCCAGGAACAGACCTCGAGCGGTTCTGTTTAGAAAAGGGTTTATCTTCCCAGGGCTCTCTCTAAGCAGACGTGAGGTAGAACACTTCTCCACCAAGGGTGTCCCACCTCAAAGCAAAGGAAACTCCAACTTTTCCTCCTCTCCCTAGGGACAGCACAGGCTAGCCTCGGCCTGTGGTGATGCCAGCCCCTCTTCCCTCCTCACCAAGACTGTCTCCTCCTCTTCCAGGATCTGCCAGTGGCACTGCTGTTTCCCCACGGGCCCTCTCCTATCTCCCTTCTCTAAGATGGCAGCCAGCAGCTCTGAGGTCTCTGAGATGAAGGGGGTAGAAGATAGTTCCAAGACCCAGACAGAAGGACCTGGCCATTCTGAAGCTGGACTCGGTCCTGTCCAGGTTGTAGCAGAGATTCCAGACCAGCCAGAGGCCCTTCAGTCAGGCCCAGATATCACGGCAGCCCCTGTGGACTCAGGACCTAAGGCTGAGCTGGCCCCAGAAACCACAGAGACCCCAGTTGAGGCCCCAGAAACAGTCCAGGCCACAGACCTCAGCTTAAACCCAGGAGAAGAACCCAAGGCCAGCCCCAGCCCCAAAGACGAATGCCAAGAGCCAGCATCCAAACCAGATGTGAACAAAGAGGCTGCAGCAGATCAGGGATCTGAGCAGCAGTCTGCAGCCCCTCCTGAGCCAATCTCAGAGCCTGCTTTCCAGTTAAACACCCAGGCAGACCCTCAGCCAACTTCCCAGCCTGCTCCTAAGCTACCCCTCCAGCCAGAGGCCCCCACCCAAGAGGACCCTGCCACTGAGGTCCCGACAGAGAGTATAGGCGAAAAGCAAGAAAATGGAGCGGTGGTTCCCCTTCAGGCTGGCGATGGGGAAGAGGGTCCAGCCCCCCAGCCTCATTCACCACCCTCAACCAAAACAGCACCAGCCAACGGGGCCCCTCCCCGGGTGCTCCAGAAGCTGGCCGAGGAGGACAGAAAAGGAAGGGGTCATAGTGGGCATCCAGGGTCTCCTCGAGGGAGCCTGAGCCGCCATCCCAGCTCCCAGCTGGCGGGGCCTGGGGTGGAAGGGGGTGATGGCACCCAGAAACCTCGGGACTACATCATCCTTGCCATCCTGTCCTGCTTCTGCCCCATGTGGCCTGTCAACATTGTGGCCTTCGCTTATGCCGTCATGGTGAGCCCCAAGGGACCCTGGGCCAGGCATTTTGTGGCTCCCAGCTTCCTGCCAGTGTCAGAATAGAGCCCCAGTAACGACACCTTCCCTCACCTCTCTCTGCATGGATCCCACTTGCCCGGTTGCTGGGCCTTTGCTTGCCTCTCCCCAGGATCTAACCCTCCAAGCCACTCCTGCCCTAACCCCTTCAGGCGGGAGGGGAGGAGAAAGGTGTTTCAGACAACCTTGCTGACCTGTGCCCTCTTCCTCCTGCACTCCCAATCCTCCTTCCTTTCTTAACCCCATGGGGCTGACCTCCTTCCTCTGGACTCTCTCACCTGGTCCCTGCTGGGCTGGCTCCTGCTGACCTGGGCCATGATACCTCCAAACCCCTCACCCTCACCCCAGTCCCGGAACAGCCTGCAGCAGGGGGACGTGGATGGGGCTCAGCGTCTGGGCCGAGTAGCCAAGCTCTTAAGCATCGTGGCGCTGGTAGGGGGGGTCCTCATCATCATCGCCTCCTGCGTCATCAACTTGGGCGGTGAGTGGGGGTCGGGGACAGGAAAGGGAGGAGTGGAAGGGTTGACAAGGGCAGCTTTACTAACCCCTGACCCTGCTCTCTCCTGTCTGTCCTCCCTGTTCCTTTGTGTCTCCCTGTCTCCTTCCCTGTCTGTCTGTCCCTCTCCTCTCCCACAGTGTATAAGTGAGGGGCTCTGCCCTGCATTCCAAGACTTTTCTTCCTGTTGGGAGCTGTCTTGGGTCCATCCCTACCCTGGGGGAAGCCCAGTCCATGGCCCTGGCCCCCATCCCTAGGGACCAAGGGAGCCTGAGCAGCCTTGTTTACAGCCTCTTCCCTGCTCCTGCATCCTGCCAGGCTCCCCTGCCAGGCTTAGGCTCCCTTTCTCCCTGCACTTTGGCCTGCGAATCTCCCCTCCTGCCTCTTGACCTCCCCAACCCTGCACTCTGAAAAACCTCTCTGCACTTCTGGAAGCCTTCCTGAACATCTAAATTGTATTCTGCACCTCTGCATCTCTCCCAGCACCCCACCCCACCCCACCCCCAGCACTTCTTCCTGCCTCTGGAATCCTCTGAACCTTAATTAACCCTGACCTCCTACCTTTCATTGTCTTGGTACCTAGCCCATTCTTTTCTTCCCTTCCTTCCCATCTTTTCCCCTTGCCCCTCCCCTGACCCCTTCTCAGCTTCCCTGAGCATCTTCACTCTCTGCCGCCATTTATTCTGCAAAAACTGCAGTATTAGGTCAGGCTGAGGGAGGACTGCCTAGCTAGAGGCTCTGACTGTTCTCTACTGGGGACCACCCGGGCCCAGACCGTACTCCGACCCCAATCCCTAAGGTGCCTATTGGGTCGAAAAGTTGGCAAGCCAGGCCTCACCTGGGGGACTTGCACAAGGGTGGGAGTCCTCCTTCTGAACATCAGGGGAGGAAGGAGTGCCGCAGCGGCCGCAGGGTCAGCCTGAGTTGACCTGCCCATTTGGGCTTTTTGACCTCAGCGTTTCTTGTTTGAAGGTCTGAGGAGTTTGGGCCATTCACTTGCTTTGTGGACAGTAAAATTAAAAAAGAAAAAGAGGGAAAAAAAAAAAGGACCAAAGTTCTCAGCTGCGGGGAGCGAGAGAGGGTTGGGGGAGCTCTGTAATTATTCTCTGAGAGGATGAGGGAGGTTTGCACGCGACAGCCCTCTGAGGAGGCAGGGAGCCAGCTGTGATGCATTTCGGAGTTGGTGGGGGTTTTTTGTTTCCTTTCTTTCAAAAAAAAAGTTGGGGGAAACTAAACTTCCTTTAAAAAATCAAACTGAGTCTCCCTTTTTGTATGCTGAATGCTGCATGATTCTAAAACACCAATAAACAGAATGCATGAGACTCGCCTCAGTTGGTCCCTCTGTTGGTTTGCAGTCAAGGGACTGCTTTCTGGCAGGCCCTAGTGGGCGAAATACGCATGCGCTGCCGCAGTGGCCATCTTTAGTGTGGGTCGAAGCTAGCGATGCCTACGGGCCTCTCTGCGCATGCGCAAGCCTCCTGTTTCCTCTTTCGAGTAGCTTTGATTACAGTGGAGTCTCCGCGCGCCATTTCTCTGCGCCTGCGTGCTGCGACCGTGCGCAGCCTGGGAGGCGGGTTTTAGCTCCAGGTTTGTACCGCCGCCGAGTGGACGCGAACTAGGTCTGCGAGGTCCAAGGAAATGACTCCCGTCCAGGTGTTGGAGAGGGCGATGTGAAAGCGAGAAAGCAGGCCCCTCCCTTTCCGTCTCCGAGCGTGGTTTCCGCGGGTCCCCGGGAACGGCAGGATTCTGGATTTGGATCCGTGGGGTGGGGTCTGTCCGGGCCGGGATCTGAGCGCCCCCTCCTGGGGACGGTGCCGTGGCCGCAGTCAGTGTTGGGCTGCCTGGAGATTTCGTACACCCCAGTGGATCTCAGCCCTTCGGGGGGAGGCGCCCTGGTTTGGTACTCCAGACTCCCCTATTTTGCTGGGCTTTTCTAGTACTCTATGTCCTTGGGCCATGGAACCATTGCAGGCAGCACAGCGGCGCCTCTGTCTGAAGAAGGGGAAGTGACTTCCGGCCTCCAGGCTCTGGCGGTGGAGGACACCGGAGGTCCCTCTGTCTCGGCTAGTAAGGCCGAGGAAGAGGGGCAAGGAGGTCAGGAGGAGGCCGGGCGTGAGGGATCCAGGGCCGAGGAGGCTCTAGACGCTCCCAGCGCTGCGGGCGACGAGCGCGCCGAGGGAGAATCCGAAGACTGGTGCGTGCCCTGCAGCGATGAGGAGGTGGAGCTGCCGGCCAATGGGCAGTCCTGGATGCCCCCGCCCTCCGAAATCCAGCGACTCTACGAACTGCTGGCTGCCCAAGGTACTCTGGAGCTTCAAGCGGAGATCCTGCCCCGCCGGCCGCCTACTCCTGAAGCCCAGAGTGAAGAGGAGAGATCAGATGAGGAGCCAGAGGCCAAAGAGGAGGAGGAGGAAAAGTGAGGCCATAACTTTACACGTTGTCCCGGGACTAATCTCCTGAGCACAGGAACTGGAGGGAGGGAAGAGCAGGAAAGGATGCACCAGCAGGCTGGGGTATACCAGTAGGCGTTTGGGAGGGCCTCCCTCACCCTTTCATTCTCTGTTCACCCTCTCTCAGGCCGCACATGCCTACAGAATTTGACTTTGATGATGAGCCAATGACACCAAAGGACTCACTGATTGACAGAAGACGTACGCCAGGTACGAGTAGGAGGGAAGAACTGATGGGAGGTACAGGAAGGAGCATACACACCGGGGCAGGGTATCTCTGGCTTAGGTCAGTGCCTACTTCCCTGTAAGAGACCCACAGACCTTCTTCCTGTCAAGTTTCCTGTTCCTTTCGTCTTATTGCCAGAAGTCCAAAGCCTCCTGGTCAGTATTCTCTAGAACACAATTGTGTAGTGCTGTGTACATCACCAAGAACTGATGCGCTATCCCAGCCCACGTGACTTCCTAGAATTCACTCTCCTTGAGTTCTCTTCCACCTGGTCAAGTTCCATTAGCTCTGCATCTGCAGATCTACCTTTAACCCCAGCTCTCTCTTGCTCGACGGTTTCCACAGTTCTGACTGGTCTCCCTGCTGCTGGTCTCAGCAGCCAGAGCGGTCCTTTTAAGTGAAGTCCTGTCATTTCTATGCTTGTGGTCCTGCAGAGGATTCTGTTACAGGGAGGAAGAGCATGTCCAGGGAGAATCTGAGTCGTGTGTCCTCTGTCCCCACCCCAGTGCCCCAGGACCTTTGCGTACATGCGTGCGTGCGTGCGTGCGTGCGTGCGTGTGTGTGTGTGTGTGTGTGTGTGTGTGTCCCCGCTAGGTATGTTCAGTAGCCATAGCATTATGGGTGCCGTCATCCTGTGTGTGGCCCAGCCCTAAGCATTAGCTGCTCTGTGCTGAGGCCCAAAATGCATGTGTTCAACAAGATCTATAAGTGTAGGGGTGGAAGGTACTCACTACCTCAATCCTGTCCCGTTTTCTACCTTAGGAAGCTCAGCCCGGAGTCAGAAACGTGAGGCCCGTCTGGATAAGGTCCTCTCGGACATGAAGCGACATAAGAAACTAGAAGAGCAGATCCTTCGGACTGGGAGAGACCTCTTCAGCTTAGACTCAGAGAGCCCCAGCCCTGCCAGCCCTCCACTCCGATCCTCGGGGAATAGCCTCTTTCCCCGGCAGCGGAAGTACTGACTCGTGCTGCCATGGCCTACAGGTGCAGACTGTTTCCACTGGGCGTGGCCAGCCTTTCCCAGCCCAGGCTCTGGGGAACTTGTCACAGGAAAAAGCCTCAAGCTCACAGCTCAGTGCCTTGCAGGAAAGTGTGTGTTCTGTTGAATGTCTGTTTGCAGTTCTGAGCTGGATTTGCTGAGTCTAATAAAAGATGCAGAATGATCTTCTCTTAGCAGAGACTGCCACTGAACCCAGGCAATTGTTCTCACTTGGGCAGAGGCAGAACTGTATTCCTCCACATTGGAATATTGAAGCCAGATAGGGCAGAGGTGTACCCAGCCATCATCTGACCAACCTCCCCTCCCGTTAGGTCCTCTGACCCTTTCTAGTCTCAGTCCAGTCCCACCATTTAGTACCGAAGCAGATTGCTGAGTATGGACCGAACTGCAGTGTCTGGAGCTGCACCCCAGAGGAGGAAAAGATCCAGTTGCAGGGCCCTTTAAATATTCAGGCTCCGCCCCTGCCTGCCCAGCCCTTTCGGGAAGTCATCCCTGGTGTTGGTGAGGGGAATTCCTGACTTGCGGGCCTGCAGCAGCCAGCTACACTGCTAAATGTGAGTACTGCATCGCGACCCTGCCGGGACTCCCAGACTCCAGTCCAGGAGTCGGTGTCTGCCTCACTGGCTCTCTAGTGCTCCTGCTTTCCAGCGGCTTTTCTGGGGCAGTAACGCCTTAGCCACAAAGGGCAGGAAGGAGGGCCTTGGTAGCTCTTCCTTGGGAGGTTTCACTTTCTAGTTTTCTGGGTTTTCAAACACCCTGCCATGTCCTCATCCCCCAACACCTCCAACCTCCCGACATCAGGATCTCACAGAAGATTGGAGGTGAGGGGGTCCTTTTGTCAGGCCCAGTTACACACATTTATTAACTACTTGCTTGGGATGCTGAAGCAGAAGGATGCCTTGAGCCCTGGAGCTCCAAGCCAACTTAGACACATAGTGAGACCCCCCCCCCCCATCTTTTTGCTTCTGTTTTATTTATTTGACTTCTGTTTTTATGAGAAAAGGTCTCATATTTCCTAAGTGCTTTTAACTCTGTGTAGCCCAGGATGACCTTGAACATCTGTTCCTCTTGCCTCGCCTCCTGAATGAATGCTGACATAGATGTATGCCACCACTATCAGTTTTATTCAGTGCTGGGGATCGAACCTGGAGTTTCATGTATTTTAGGCGGAGACTCTGCAAACTGATGGATTGGGTGTGACTCAGTGTTGCGAGTAACTGCATACCTCAGACCCTGTTTTTGGCCCCTAGCACACTTCCTTAAAAAAACAAACCAACGGGGGATCCTGGCCAGACACAGTTCACACCTCTAATCCCAGCACTTGGGCGGCTGAGGCAAGAGGGTCTCCAGAGGTTTGAGACCAGCCTGAGTTACATAGTGCCACCACAGCCTGAGCGACAGCATAAGATCCTGTCTCAAATAACAAAAGCCAATTAGCGAACGTTCCAGCCTCCATTCAGGCTCCATCTCTGGTCTTACTTCCCTGCCCTTACTCCCAGGGACCTGGGCTCTGCTTTCTGTTGAATGATGGGCATGTGAATTGACCCCCTCGATTCCCTTCTCTGTCAGTTGTAGAGGCTTTCCTGCTGCCCTGTGCAGGGCTGTGCCAACTATGGGCCCTGGCCACTCACTTGAGAACTGGCGAGCAGGATGATCATAAGAGTAGCTTAATTTGCAAAAGGTGCAGAGTTCAGTGAGAACAGGCATCTTTGGGGGAAGAGGACGTGAACAGTAGTAAGCTCAAATGGACAACCAGCCTAAGATTCTGGGGACTTGGGAACTCTGGCTGGAGCCCAACTCTGGTAGGAGAAGGTGGTTGAGGCAGCTGTTCCTAATGCCCTCTGCTTCCTGCCTGAGGACCCTTGGGACAGGGAAGAGAGGCTCTCCCGGAAACTCTCTACCAATACCTTTGGCACATAGGGTATCCACCCTGCTCTGAGGTGGGGCAGTTGGGCAAGACAGTTACTACCTTGAGTGCTTGGGTGCTCAGACTTCCTGTGGTGTGTGCCATACTCTCAGCTTCTTGTGTAGCAGAGGTTGGTCACTGGCTCAGGTTATAGAAAACCTTCACCTTTGAATGTCCCTTGGTGCCATTTCCTGGACAGCAACAGCCCCACCCATATCCTCTATGTCCCATGGCCTCGCAAGCCATACTGCCGTAGTGATGACCCAGGGCAAGCCTGATCTACTTCAAGAGCAGAATGACTGAGCTTGACCTTGGCATCTTAGGCCACAATGAGTCAATAAAAGATATTTAACGTGGTGGGTTGGGTTCCAAGTAGGAGTTGGTGGTGAGGGTTATGCCTCAGATACAAGTTCCAGAATTTTCCTGTAAACCTTGATCCTACAGATCCTAAGTAAGGCCTGGGAGACAGTATGGATAGGATTAAATGTCAGCCAGACGCCAGGTATGAGAGCTTAAGCCACTGGTCCCATCTACTCGGGAAACAAAGGAGTTCAAGGCTAGCCTACCAGTAAAATAAGACTCCTCTTAAAAACCAAAGTGGGCCTTAGAGAGATACCTCTGTGCCTTAGAGGGCTTGCTGCTCAGAGGATCGGAGTTGGGTTGCCAGTACCCACACTGGGAGGCTCACGAGTGCTTTAACTCCATGGGCTCTGATAACCTCTCCTGGTTTCCATGGGCACCTGCA